TTTACCAGCATTGCAGACCCATGAACTTCCCCAGTTTTGTAGCACCATCATTTACAAAGTCTTTTGCTCCAAGAAAGCGGCCGAATTGAAAAATGGACGAACAGAGCTTTGTGAGCTAAGGGCCAGTTGTGGTGGTTTGTGGGTATAAGAAGGGATCAGGCCCCTGAAGGGTGGACAGGAAGGAGAGGAGGACTAAGGGATCAGTAAAGAGATGAGGATGTTAACCTAATCAAAGCAGTGACAGAATGTGGTCTGATGAGTAGAATAAGGAAGGAAGGGACAAGAAGAAGGTTAACATCCCATATTTAAGATTCAAAGGGGCCTCCAGAGAGACCCGAGCCGGATGGAAGGAAATAAGGGATGTGAATCTCATCAGCTTTAAGAGGAGAGGTAAAAGTGAAAGCGTTCAAAGAGGGACACCAACGTCTTGGTGTCATAAACAGGCCACAGCATCAAAACACCCATTAATCACCTTGTGAGTGAGTGTGTGAGCAAGAGAAGCATCAGATTTGGTATAAACGGGTACTGTGGTTCAGCAGTCACGGATCGTGTTTCTCTGCATTATACGGTCATAGATACCAGTGTGCTGTGTTAAAAGCTGCTATTCCATTACTCTCAGTCTTTAGGGTGTGTGTGGCTGTCCGTCTACTGGGACTTGAGATCATTCCTTTAGTGTCGACTGCTGTGTCTGTGTGCGTCTGTGGCCCTCTCAGGACCTCTGAAAAAGGTCATTTGTGTAGTGTCTGCTGCTTTGTGTGCACGTAAATCAGATAAGAGTGGAACACAAACCCTATTAGAAGCTAAAAGCAGAGACATAGAGACAAATAAAGACAGTAACGGGAGTATGGATCCGATGGGAGACAGGCTTAAAACTTGTCATTAGAGACACCCAACCCATGTGCACAGAGAGGGGAAAAGCCACCTTCCATGACGCATTACAAAAAACTAAATACAAATCCCATAAGAAATCAGTCTTTATAAAAAAATCTTTCAGAAAACCACTGACAAACTGCCACAAACCAAAAAAAATAAATAAAAAATTATTCACATGTAATGACCAGCCATCACTAACTACAGATAAAATACATAGATACATGGTATATATAGGCACCATGTCATTTACGGTCTTTATTAAACCAAATTAGCTATTTAATTGTATCCACTTTATTTCAATTATTTTAAATTCCCTCTTAAACTATTAGTTTTATAATATTGGCCAATTTATAGTTATTTATACTGATCATATTTATTTTAATTCAAAGATAATCTGCCAGAGGAGGAAATATTTTTTATAAAAACACAATATAAAGAAATATAAATCATATTTATATTAAAAATGAGAAATTCAGACAGATGCTGAAAAAAAAAATAATATTGGACAGCACAAATATTGTTATCAATTTAACAACAAAAAAATTGTTGCAGGACAATAAAGAAGTCAAAATAAACTGAATTTTATCAGAGATCAAGCTAGCTAACTAGGCAATGTAAGCTAAACACAATTAGTCCAAAGGCTTCCTGTTTAACAGCTGCTCTTTGGGTTGTCGTCTGAGAGCTTTTTCCTCTCTGAGGGCCAGGCAGAGTGGATGACTCTTCTGGTGACTCCAGGGGGAAAACTAAACCAGATGGACACACAGAGACCCTGAGCTCTAGGGGGAAAGAGATTGGCTTTCCTAACGGAAATCGTGGCATTACTCACCTGAGGCTATGCTCCTGCGAACCATCCCCAGAAATAAGGTGGAATGAGAGAAGTGGGTGCCCTTTGAGAGCATAAGGGTTAAACTTATTCTGTATGTGTGCGTATCTGAACAGGGCTGCTGTTTGTACAAGAGAGCAGAGAGTAACAGGCCCTTAAATCAGTAAGATCTTCTAAAGCTCATGGGAATGGAGCAGCTATGAGTGTGAGAATGTGTGAAATCTGCTGGAGGTTGAATAAAGAGAGGACAAACCATGTAACTCTCTACGAAGCTGCTTTAAAATCACACAATTATTTAATAAAGGGCCATCACAACAAGCTAATGAGAATTTATATATATATATATATATATATATATATATATATATAGCCGAGCAGTGACGGAGAAATTGATTTTTGAACTTTGATAGCAGAGTAGCTTGAAGCTTGTCAACATCAGTTTCAAAGACACAATAAAATGCTCTTAAAACACAGTTCACAGTTTTCTTTTCTGTTCAAGTATTTCCTAAATAAATAAGTATACACGAAATATTGATTTGAGCTGGAATTATTGTATTATGTGGGAAGAAAAAAACCAAAGTGATATTAAACTGATGTTTGCCAGGGACAAAGGGTCAATTATACAGTTTAGCAGGTATCAAACACAAACTCTTCCACAGGGCTCTTCAATATAGGGATAAGCAGCAAATATTTATTGATATTTAAATATAATTTAAAGAAGCATTGAATAATTATTGTGCTAGCAAAGAGCACAGAATTCTGGCAACATTAATGGGCAACATACATGAACTAAACTTTTTAACCAGCCAATCTGTTATTTGGTAAATCAGATCGCAGATGCTACGTGATAGAACAAGTATGCAACTTCTAAACAAAAGAATATGCTACAATACTTTTTTAAAGTTATGTTTGTAACCCTGCTCTTTTAGTTAATTTCCAAAATAGCACCTGACTCCAATGGGGAGAGTCCAGTTTAGATTTGGTCAAAGAAACTCAAAAAGAAAGCAAGGAGTCCAGAGAAGCAGGAGTAAAGGATGGGAAAACTATCAGCGTGTAACTCAAGAGAGATGAGATGGAGAACATAAAATGTACTTTTAGAGCTTTAAATGTAGAAAATCTCTACACAGCTATACAGTTACTATACAACCAGCCTACACACAGGGAAATGCAGGCTGAATCATGCCCAGAAGTATGAGATGAGCCTTTGTTAGTCCTGGGGATTTTGATCCTGCAGCTCGAATCATAATGAAAGACATCAATCCTGAAAGACTAAAGTCAAATACATTAAGCCATTGCTTGTCCAGCCCCACTATGCTTTTACAGTAAATCAACTAACTGGCTCTGTTCAGAGACATGTATCTTTTCCCTACACTAAATCGACAGGGTAACATTGGTACTGTGAGATTGGTAATCTTGTAGTACAACTTTGATGCAAGTATCGAACGAATCAAAAATACTTAATAAAAAATAAATATGTGAACTGATTGTGCTGGATCTATATATAAAAGCAAAACTTTAAAAGTTAAAAAAATGTAATTAAAAATAATGATAAGTGTACTCCATCACTGTCAGAAAATTCCCTGTACAGGAAGGAAGCAAATCATGGACAAAAAGAGTCCCCAGTGCGCACCCTCTCTCAGCACACATACAAACGCCGGATGAGGATAATGTACTGACAGTAAATGGCCTTAAGTGTAAGACCATGATTAATGCTCTCTGCCAATCTCATTTGCCTCCAGGTGGAAACCCTTTTGAGAAACAAACATTTCCTGGGGGTGGGGGGGGGGGGGGGGGGGGGGTTAAAAAATCTTGCTCTCCTGTAATAGAATAAAGCTGTAAGCCATACGAGTACCACCAATTTACAATTGTTAAGGATGACAAGTAGTACTCTTTATGTTGCTTATACTTGCAGTGCAAGGGTTAAATGAACCCCTATCTCCAAGAATTAAACTGAAAATAAAAGATGAGGCGAGTTTTTTTGTGATTGTTGCTGGCAAAAATCCTTGATTATGCGGCACGTTTTCTTTAAAAATGCAATGGAAATGGAATATGCAGGATATTTACGCAATTTTATGCTATGAAATTGCGGGAACTTGCAAAAACTGCGGTTTGATGAAAAAGAGAGAAAAAAAAGTGATTCCCCAAACAGCCTGTTCTCACTAGGCTGCTACTTAATGTAAATAGTAATTTCTTATTACTTCCTATGATAAGCAAGCATACTACATCACAGAAAGTGCTGGAATATTTCATTTCTCATCTTGTTTTATTCCAGACTGTAACGAGTGGAAATAAGGTGTGGCCCCTATAAGAGCTGCGCGGTTCCCTGTTGAACTGTCTGCAGATTCAGCTTTCAAGCAATGAAAACGCCCATATCAGCTGGATAAAACATCCAGTTTATCACAAATCTACCCTTTACCTAGTGTTGCTGTGCTGTAAGGAATAATACTGTCATAATAATCCTGGAAAAGTTACCTCAGTTAACTAACACTAATCCAAATAAATTATGTTTTTTTTTTTAAACACAACTGAATTCAAGGAATAATCCATGTTTAAATTAACAGTAAAGTTCATTGAGCAGCATGTTCCTATATCTGATTTACCAAATAACAGATTGGCTGGTTAAAAAGTTTAGTTCATGTATGTTGCCCATTAATGTTGCCAGAATTCTGTGCTCTATTTTGTCTTCCATTTGCTAGCAAAATAATTATTCAATGCTTCTTTAAATTATATTTAAATATCAATAAATATTTGCTGCTGATCCATATATTGAAGAGCCCTGTGGAAGAGTTTGTGTTTGATACCTGCTAATCTGTATAATTGACCCTTTGTCCCTGGCACTGAAAGAGGGACCCAGGCCATATCTAGGGGCAAACAATATTAGAGACTACCCACAACAGCCTAGTAACCACATAGCAACACTCTGGAGGGCTGTGGGATCAGCAGTTATACAGTTGCCACATCCATCATAAAGACAAGGTTTAACACGGAGTACTAAAATTACATGAACTGACATTCCTACTCAGACCCAAGACACACCTCAAATTAGAAACCCCTTTGCTGACCATGTTACATGGGCTAAAGCCAGGACACACTCTTTTCTGCCTCTCTTCATCCATTCCATACTCTCATTTTCTCTTTCAAAATATGTCTGGAGAACTAAATCTATTAGCAAGCACATCTTTGTGTTTTTGAGACTTCACTCAATGACGAATTGAAAAAGCAAACTGCCAGACGTTTTCAGATAAGATAAAGAAAAAGTAGAAGAGTGCTGGAAGGAAGAAAGGAGATTATTTTCTTAACTCACCTTAGTGAAAAATACTGAGAGATGAGTCTCGCTGCCAAGGATCCAAATAGGGAATTTTGGAGATTTGAGGAAAGAGCCAACCTTTAAAAGCAGAAAAAAGAAAAAGCGGTTGAGCGCCAGTCTCCATACCGATGCCATGACGGCCTGGCCAGCTACATTCCAGAACAGGTTAATTCACTGCGATAAGATGATTGGTCACATAAGAATGGCCAAGTACTAAATCATTTGGCTAATTTTGGACCTTAGTTATGGATTGGATAAAAATGTTTTGAAACCATTTTACACTACGCTAGAATGTTCTTTAACTGTATCAATGTTGAGTGTATTATATGAACACTGAAACATGTAGTTAATGATCTATATCAGGGGTAGGGAACATCCAGCCCTTATGTCGGACCCTCGAGACCATTTGAACAGGCTTGCATGGCCATTTGACAACTCAATTTCAAAAAACCCAAATAGTTATGGACTGGCGCTTTAACAATGTTGAAAATGTAATATTTTTGTGAAAACCATTATGCAGTTTTTCAGGATTAGAAAAGAATAGAAAAAAGTTAAAAAGAACTGCATTTATTTGAAATAGAAACCTTTTGTTATATTATGCTGCATTATGTTCTTCCACTTTTGATCAATTTAATGCATCTACCATTGCTGGAAAATTTCTTATTAAAAAAAAAAAACCCTCTTACTGAACTAAAACTGTTGAACAGTAGTGTATATGAAGTATACAAACTCTTGAATTGAAAAAGGTTCCCCACGCCTGATATACATATAAAAAACAAATGAGCAGTAAAAAAAAAAAAAAAAAAAAAAAACACGCCACACTGGAGCTCCATCTCCAGCCGTGCATTCAAGCGCTCACACTCATCTCCCATCACTCAACAGGTGAGTATCAGCAGCAGATTTGGGTAGGAGAGGCGATCCAGGGGTGTGCGGATTAAAAAGAACATGAATATTTTGATGGGGGCTCATGGTTCTAAATATGAGGCGATACATTCCTGTGTTCTTCTAATCCAAACACAACTCACTGCACATATCCTGAAGCTCTGCTTAGCACAGTGCCATTCAAAATAAAGCAGCTTCTTAATTACTTTATCCACAGGTTAAAACAATAGGGCCATTCCTACAGGATGTGTGTGTGCTAGGTGTTATTGGCTGAAATTTCAGATGTTTGGGATTTAGAGGGCACCACGTTAGCATTTAAAAAGATGTTAAGGCCCTGGTAAAATTAATTTTCCATGTTTCACTCAGTCTCAAGCACAGTCGTGTCTACACAGTTTTGAAAGCATGCTCAACAGTGGATGGACACATTCGACACATGCACAGTACATTAACATTTGTTTTTTTAATACTCTATCAGTCTTCAGAGGGCAGCACTGAGCTGTGTCATTTACAAGACATTTACTTGAAAAGTAGCAGATCCGCCAATGCGTGCAAAGTTTAAACCAAAACAAAAGATGGAGAATGATATGCTGATTTGTTTATGGTTCTTGGAACAGCATGTTGTTTTGCATTGATCTGTATGCACTCTTGTTCGACTGTGCATATTGCCACCTAGTGGTCTCAACATTCACCTTTGTATGGTCGGACATCCGAGGTATACTTTGGCTTTAGGGAGACGGGAACCATTTAACTTTTGTAAAAAGAACTAGTACAACTGAATATTAACTAAACTAAATAATTGAAGGTCTTAGTCCAAGGGGGCTGGATGATGACATCAAATGATTGAATTGAGTCATTTACAAAAATGATTTATAATTGTAGGAAAACGAAAGGATTTCTCTTTCCCCCCCTCAATAAATATTGTTTATATTGGAGAACACATAATTAAATACTTGAAAGTTCTAGTTAATTCATTTAATATCACAATACTCCATATTTCTAATAATAAAACACTGTGACAAGTTTGAGACAGCTATGCTATATGGCGTTAGTTTTATAGTAATGTAGGCTAGGTAATGGATACTATCTTAAAATACTTGGTATCTTGGTAAAAAAATCTTAAAATCTGGGTAAAAACAACTTAAAAACTAGAAAAGACTACAGATTTTTACCAATACAGAACTTTCATAATTGTTTTGTGTGATTTATCAACACTGCAGATAGTGGAAACACCATCTATAGCACATGAATTTTACTCTAAGCTCCTGTAAGGGTGTGTATGAGTAAATACCCACCTTGCAATAGCGCAGTGACTCCATTAGTGTGAGAAAGCCAACAGAGGCACGCTGATGGATGCCATGAAGCTCTACAGAACAAATAAAAAAAAAAGAATAATAAAATTTCTGAGCCGTTATTCTATCAGCAGGCATATTGAGCAACATTTGACAATGCTGCCACCAAGTGGGCAGCAACAGCAGAACAAATGTGAATCGATTTATTAAAAAAAACAACATGTCAACAGATTATTATTCAGCAAAAAATATGAAGCATACTCATTCCAGAACATTCTCTATCGCCGTCCCACACGTTAGACACGGCATGACCTGTGACCAGCAGGTTGATTAGACTTTGGCTAAAAGTATAGAAAGAAAGACCATGAAACAGTCAGCATTCACTTGTATAAATTTACAATAACTACACTTAAATACATTAAGATTAAGACTTTTAGATTTTACATTGTGATTATATATAGGTATATAGACCAGCATTATCCTTAGGCAATGCAAGATCAATCTACAAGCTTCTAATGCAATAAAAACAGCATCCTAACAGTCTAAGCAATGATAATATAAAAAACCTGATCTCTTAGCATGCATTCTACCTGCCGTGGCCATACACAGGGTCAATCAAAGGTTCAGTGGTGTCTTCGATCTCATTCTTTATGTTCTCAATCCCCTTTAAAAAAGTTAGAAGTTACAGCATTAGTACAAACACACAGACACATAATGGATGAACCATCTATAGGCACAAAAAAATTACAAAATAACTAGCGAATAACATACATTTAGCAGGACAAGATGTGTCACGTACTCTACAAAAGTTGAATCAGCAAGATTTATTTTATTCAGAAAGGATGCATTTAATTGGTCTAAAGAGACAGTAAAGGCATTAGAAATGTTACAAAACATTCTATTCATCAAAGTATCCTGAAATGTATGATGGGTTTCACAAAAATACAAAACAGCGCAACTGTTTAACATTGATATTAATGAGCAATGTTTCTTGAGCAACAAATAAGCATATTAGAAAGATTTCTGAAGGATTATGTGACCGAAGACTGGAGCAAAGATGCTGAAAATCAGCTTTGTCACGAAAATAATAATTTACAATTTAAAATATTTTAAGATAAAACAGCTATTTTAAATTGTAAAAATACTTCACAATATTGTGGTGTTTTTTTTTTTTTTTTTACTGGATTTTCGATCAAATAAATGCAGCCTTGAGCATAAGAGACTTCTTTCAAAAACATTTAAAAAAATACAGGCCATAATGTTACTGTAGAAGGTTTACCATGCAAGCTCGTTCTCCTGTGTTTCAATGGAACAAACAAATTCAGACCTCTTAGGTGGAAAAATGTAAAGTTATACCTTTGTAAGTATGACAGAGTACAGGAAAAGCAGAACTCCGAATTTGTTTTTCCAGGTGTCGTACAGTAACAACACAGCCTCTCTCAGCTCCGCAACAGTCCTGAGAGTCCTCTTCCTGAGGAAGGAGAAACCACAATGTGACTGTCAATTGGGGAAGATCCTTACTGTAGGAGGTACAATGTCACGAGTTACTGACCAATTTAGACTGAAGCTTTATTTTAAGCTGAGCCCGATTTATTTTAAGTAATCTGCCAGTGATTTGTATATTTTGTAGTACAAGTAAGGGTGTCACGATTTCGAACCGTGACCTTAGAATTGAAAATGTAATCAAATCGAGAATTTGGAGAATTGTGACACCCCTAAGTACAAGGAAAAGAAAGACATGAGAAAAGAGGAACAAACGTGACGCTGCATGAAAAGAGAGCTTGAGCACTTACTGGATGACGCTGTGAAACCTCTCAAAGCCAAGCTCCTCGGCAGCCAAAGCAGCTAAACACACACCATGCAAAAACAAATGCATTTAACAAGACACAACAATCCAAAGAAATTATTTGTAAGATCACTGTACACTGTTAATGAGAATATACAACCCAGTGTGCTGTGTATCAGAGTTTCCGCAAAAAAAAGAAAAAAAGAAAAGAAAAGGTGTCGTTCAAAGTGACCGGCAGAGGTTTAGTTTTACGGACATTTTGATGATATGCTGGTCAAATATCGCCTCTTAATTAGTCAAGTTGAGGTAAACTGGATTCAGGCTATGTAACTTAAAAAAATGACATAATCAGGCCGTATAAAATGCGACACGTTTATTAGCCTAGCCTAACTTTCAAATAGACGGAAAAAAAAAAAAACATGAACATGATTGGCGTCAATCAACATCAATTGTTTTTTACTATGGTTTCACACACATTCACTTTTTGAAACACTGATGTACCCAATACAAATAAATAAAACATCTCCAGTTAACTAGCAGATCATTCGTTTAGTTTGCTATTAAGAGATCTATTAAGAGATCTGGCGAATAAATAAGAGATAATGTCCCTGCTGCGTATAACCCAAACATTAGGGATCAGTGTATTATTCAAGCATTGGCATGTAGTCTTGTCAGTATCTGTACAACATCCAGGAAGACTGTTATAAATTCTCTTACTTGGTGTGTCAGTAGTTTGGCTGGACTCGGGCTCAGGGTGTCTGTCTGTGGTTTTATCACGAGGCCAGGTGGCCAGGTGAAATGCCTGTGTTTTATTGAGGGAGGCTGACTCCAGAATCTCACTGAGGGTGGAGCACAGGACCGTCCGCTGCTCTTCCTCTGTAGGGGTAGATCAAGCCAAGCATTGATTTCTAAGCTGCAATAAAGATGTTGCACTGACTAACACCAGACACGAGCAGCCCAACACAATGTGACAAAAGCAGATAGACACCCATTATCATCAGTGATGCTACACAGGATGCAACGTGGCATTCCAGAAGGCAAACTGATGCCCGTTCTATTTCCTATATCATACTTGGCCCTGTCCCAAATGGCAACCTAAACACTTGCAGTCTTCCGACCAGTCAGCACTTTTGTGACATAACACCGATTTGACAGTCGTGAAGAAGTCTGCAGCGGAGCTTGCTTCAAACTGACCACAAGAAGATGCGTAATAGTCCCTTCTGCTTATGTAATAAGATTCAGGATGTCTTGCACTTTTATGGCATCATATTTCCAAAATGCACTTATATCAATGCATTAATTTATGTATTGGCACACAGTCTAAATATCAAATTATAGTAGTCTATTGTCTAGTCTACATAACATATCATGCAGAAACCAATAAAAATGAGTAAATATTGACATATTGGAACAAAACTCAAATTACATTTATTGTTCACGTTTAATAAGCCACGTATTATTGCATGGTCTTTTTAAATAACAGAAAGAATACACTACAATGACTTCAGAACCTGAAACATAACTTAGAGTAGGTTCAGATTATCGTTCTATCCTAAAGAGAGGTTTGAGATGCTGTAAAGAGCCTAGTTTGAGTGTTATAGACAGTACCCAAAAGTGGAAACAAGGTGGAATTCTCTTTAAAATAATGAACAGCAAACCTGAAATATCTTTCCAGTTTGAGCCTTCAGTGTTAAACAGAATGTTCTTCAACAGGAACGCCTGAGGAATAGCAAACAAAACACAAATCATTAGAGCTCCACTTAACCAGACAAAATAAACAATCTAACAAAATAGCATGTCAATTACCACAGCATTACAAACAGAGTTACAGAATAGGGTAGGTTAAAGTCTGTTTAGATGACATTCACATACATTTTTACCTTACAGATACTGTAAATCCAGCCTCTAGTTCATAAACGCCAGAGGAGAACTGGCCCCTGACTGAGCCTGGGTTCTCCCAAGTTTTTTTTCCCCCTATTGGGTCACCTGACAGAGTTTTTAGGAAACCATTATGGACTTTATTTATTTATGTGGACTTTTTATTTATTATGGTGACTTTATGGAGTTTTTCGGTTGCTTACCACTGTGTCCTCTGGCTTGCTTTGGGAATATTCAAATTAATTAACCATTAATTAATCAGTAATATACCCTTGGTCAGCTCTATCAAACATGGATGTTTTTCCACTAAGAAACGAACATTGTTGTTATGTTTTGATTGATAACATGAAGCTGCTTTGATGAATTCTATATTGTAAAAAGCACTATATAAATATACTTGACTTGAAACATGAATCTCATTAGGAGACACATGAAGATAATATATAATATAAAAACAAAAACAACATACATTCCAAAAACTGGCTTAAAATATCAAACATGTTTGAAAAAATCCGGACAACTCCTAACTAAACCTAACCCAAAACCTGCAAACTGGCTTTTGCCAACTAGTGTTGGGGCAAATCGGAACAAAATTATGTACTGTAGCTTTACCCCTGTGATATAAATAAAAGACAGCAGACAAATGAAAGGAAACCCCTAAATAAAGTGTCTTAAAGGGATAGTTCACCCAAAAACTTCAAAGGGATAGTTCACTCATAAACCTCTATGGGTTGAGTTTCTTTCTTCTATTGAATACAAAAGAAGATATTTCGAAGAACGTTGGACAGTTGACGGTAGCCATCGACTTCTATAGTAATTTTTTCCTACTATGGAAGTCAATGGGATGCTGTCTGCTTACCAACATTCTTCAAAATGTCATATTTTGTGTTCAAAAGAATAAAGAAACTCATACAGGTTGGGAACAACTTGAGGGCGAGTAAGTAATGGTATAATTGACATTTTTGGTTGAACTATCCCTTTAATAAGGTAAACATGAGCTGACAGAATTCAGGATGGAAACCAATTCTTCCAAAGGAAGGATTCTTCATTGGGTCACGGTGTTTTAATGATAGCGGTGGAGGGTGTAGTAAGATGTCAGTTCAAAATCTCTAATAGGAATTTTTGTCTAATAAAAGTATTTTGAAGGATGTTCCATCATCTGAACACTTGACATGTTGTAAAACAACAATACATAGTTCAGCATGGTTGCAGTTGACCCACATTTTTTTGTAATTTGTCACCAACCTGTATTCTGCATCACTACAATGCAGCTTTTATGTTTGTCGAAAGAAAGGTAAATACCTGTACAGGTGCAATGACAGCACACGGTCCACCTTCAAACTGCTCCAGTGCAGAGGGCTCGGCCTCAGTGAACACAAAGCCTGTGGACAGAAATGCAGCGAACACAAATCTTAGCCAATGTCACAAGTCTCAATTAAGCAAGTCACAATTCAAGTGGGCAAGCAGTCAAGATGAAGTAATATGGACTTGGCATAGGCCTTCTTTGCTGACGACAACAGAATTTTTACAACACAAGTAATGGATGTATATCCTTGAAAATGAGATTTAACCTCCATAATTTGAGTCAGCATTCAGGCTGGATTACACAACATGACTTTTGCTCAGATTTTTTTAAGCTAGCCTTCAGACTATGATTTCATCCGGAAAGACTATAAAAACCTGGATAGGTGTGATCCCCAGTAATTTAACGTTAACGTTACAGTATTATTTTTAGTTTTACTCAATAACCTTTTACTAAATCGGCATGTGAAACTTATGGTGTTTTAAAATGTGTTCCGATCGCTTAACGTTAACTGTTACCTTGAGACCACCTGCGGAAGAGGGATGCAGGCACTCCTCCGCCACTAGGTCTGCCCCACACCAGATCCACCACTTCTTTACTCGTATCTGACATTTCGTCTCTTGATCTTCGTTGATATTAACTCAAAAACAAGCATCAAGACCAATGGAGATCCTTGTGACAGCTAACCACTGTAGTGCACGCGACGTGGCTAGTGAACTCGCCCTGGCCTGCTTTTGTATTCCGCTAAATCTTGAAGATTTTTCTTTAGTGGCATTGGCCACAGATGCGCAAGTTAAACTGTCCCGCGAGCGACGAATGATCAAACGCTCGCGCCAAAAATCGTGAAAGAACGTATTTTGATTACGCAGCCTCTAGCGACAACACACTACAGCCGCTCCGTTAACCTCATACGGGTTTAATTTGTGTATGAAATGAACGTTAATGTTATCTTACGTCTTATCCAGTATTCGCTTCCTTAATTCAAGGTTTCTGTTCTGTCTGTTTAAGTAGACAGGCCTGGAATGTCCTCACTGAAGTAACTCACTCACCATGGCTTGCTACATCACCTAACGTTAGACGTCAAAAAAACAAACGTTTGGTTCGTTCCTCCGACAACCTATTTTAAGAGTAGCCAACGACTGTCAACTCCACTCGAGAACACCGCGAGAAAATACTGAGGATTTCAATGTAAACTGCTCGCTGTGGTAACAGCAGAGTGCTCTCTGATCCATTCAGTTTATTTACTATGTGTTCCTCTACCTCAAGTTCGACTTTGTGAGAGATTGGTTCAAATCGAGAAGGTTCTGGTGACGTTAAGCGAGAAAAATATTTGATTGGCTGTTCCGTCCATCAATCACACGGCAACGATGTGACGTCTTGGGTTGCCCGCCTACAACACGGAGGCTGAGTTTGAATATACAGTAATCTTGGCTAAGCAATATTACATAAGAAAGAGATAAGGCAGCCATGGCATAAATTCTTAAAATACCGACAGTGAAGTAGGCACACCCACAGAGGTTATAGTGATTTCTTGCCGACAATGTTCAAGCCTATAAATTGTGCAGTGAACAGATGGTCCAAAAAAATAAATAAATAAATAAATAAATAAATAAATTCCTCCTCCAGATAATATTTACATGAACAATGCATATTTACATATAGCCCTCTGGCAAAATGTGCGTTTGGGATAACTGCTATGGGATTAATTTATGTGTATAAATCATAGGTATAAATTCACAATAAAATAATTAATAAGTAAAAAAAGAAAAGAAAAAAGATTTAAATATGTGCAAACTTATACCATATACATATTTCACCAATACTTAGTTTAAAATTATTTAACAACATTTACACGGGATATTAAATCATACCTGTATCATACCTGGTTTAAATATATCTCGCCTATTACTTTCTAAACTTTTATTAATGTGGCCACATTTTTTTTCTCTCTGAAATGTGCATTTAGAAGATAATCCGTTTCGTGGGAAAGAAAATCAAAAGAAACATTTGCGCTTCGGAAAACATTAGAGACTTTTATTTTGTTAAAGATGTAACAGGAAGTCAATCTTTCTCTTTCACGTTGTAGCCCATGCATATTTTCACGGCTGCTGACCACGCTCCTCCAAGCGGAGAAGTATTTTCCTCTACACACAAAGTAAGATAAATACACAGTTTTTATTTAACAACAATGGGCGGACAAGCAAAAACTAAAAAGAAAAGCAAAGCTAAAAGAAAAGACACCAAACCAAATGGAGGTATGTCAGTTTTAGCAATCAGTTGTTAATCTATCTGGCATTGCTGTTAAACGAAAATTAAAACTTTTATACATATTATTTCAAATCCAACATCAATTAAACCAATTTCTTGCTATATAGACTGGACATGATAGTCACCTCTTCTTGTTTTGACAATAACGGTTTAATGTAAATATGACACTGCAATGTGTTTCATGTGCCATGTGGCGTTTATTTTGATTTTTTTTTTTTTGGGGGGGGGGAAGAAAAAGAAGTGTTGGCAAACGTGTCAAAACTGTACTATTTAATCTAGATTTATTTACATTAAACTCATTTTGTAGCCATATCCTGCCCTCAAAAGGTTTGATTTGGTTGTTACTAACTTTTTAAAATATTTTTGTTTATGCTCAGGTGCCTTGATGTCACCACAGGAAAGAATGAAAGCAAAGATGCAGGAAAGGGCCAAAAAGAAAACAGCTGAAAAATACACTGTCGATCAATTATTGGAAAAGGTAAAATTTTTAATAGAAATGAAATTTTAGGTCTTGTTTTCAGATTTCACTAGTGTACTTTCTCCATGCCTCTCAGACTGAAGAGTGTATAGACAACTTTGACTTTGACATGGCCAGTCTGTACTGTCAGCGAGCGCTGGATATTGAACCGACTAACCTGACCATCCTGGACATGTTGGGGAACATCTGCGCCGAGCTGGGAGATGTAGAGAAAGCTAAACAAATATCCTTTAAACATACTATGCTACCACAATTCAATGGTCTTTTATTATGAAATCACTTGAATATTGTCGTGTATATATGTAACCTGTACTGTCCACATGAAGCTTCTAGTCTTGTTGTTGTCTAGCCGTTTTTTTAAAGAGGGTTTTAGCGAGTTTGTTTGTTATTGTCCTTGACAGCAGTGTGCGTGTATCTGAAGGCTGTGGAGCTCAGTCCAGATGAGGGCCATAGTAAGTACATGTACCTGGGGCAGATTCATGCAGGCATGGAGGCTGTACAGTACTTCAGTAAGGGAACTGAAGTCATGCTCAACACCATGGACAAACACACCAATGAGGCAAGACAACACTTATACCAAGTTCATGCATTTTAAATGAATTTTTGGTTCACTTGATTGTTGCCTTTACACATTTATATACATGATAAAAATATTTATATACGTCTTTCAAAGGTTTGAGATTAGTAATTTGGAAGAAGTTAATACTTTTATTCTTCAAGGAGGGATTCAATTGATAAAAAAGTGACAGTAAAGACACTGTTATGAAAAAATGCTATTGGTTTGATCATTCTTTTCATCAAAGAATCATAAATAATCGGTGTATCCAATTATATAAATACTTGTTTTCGAACAGTTTTGTTCGTTCATTTCAAACAAATAGTTCAGAGACATCTTAAATTGGAATACTTTATGGTATGTGCCTATAGAGAAATTGGTGCTGAAAAATGAACCTACCCTGAAAAACATTTACTTAAAGAGCAAACAGTGTGTCAACTAGCCCCGGTCTACCCAATATTTTGAAATGTGCGATGACCCTCAGTAAAACAGGTGCCTAATACTACACGTGAAATACTAAGGCTAAACCTAAACTGTTGGTCTCAAGTGGCACACACTGTTCTAGTTTAGTAAATATAATGGACAAGTACTAAGATGAATCAGTGAGTCTTAGCAAGAATAAACCATGTATATTTTTAAGAAAACAGTATACGTGCAGTTGTAGCAGATTAACAGAACAGTATGTGTTTTAACGTTCCACAGAACTCTAAAATGGAGAATGACTAGCTGAGACCAGAATATACTCTCTAAGATACGACGAGGAATTGTCATGTTGTTTTGAGCTCCCAGAGCTTTAGCTAATGTATAATGGATGCATTCCATCATTATGGTGCGTTTTCCCAGTGGACAGCACTTTCTTTGCATTGATTAAGTTAGTTGCTGAATCTGATATAGGAAACATTTAGTCATGCTGAGCCAGTCTTACCAGAGGCCTTTGTTTGACGTTTGTGTCTGTCTATGCAGGGCTGGTTAAATGGAATATACAGAAGAACAGATGTGTGTTGTTCCTGTAGGTGGAAATCTATTGAAAACCACTTGGCCACAGACATTGTTTTACATCAAAGCAAACTGCAATCAATTGAAATGACCACACATGCTGTTCTTGTTGTGCATACATTACTGTGGATTGGATTTAAATGCTGTGAACAATGCCCTGAGCTTTGTGGCCCCATGGGTGAGACATGCATCCTCAGTGGTCTAAATGATTTGTCAAAAGAAAACAGCTATTGGATTTCTTTAGTGTTAAATGTGCAGTTCAATCTTTCAGCTCTAGAGGGCAGTCAAACGTAAGCAGAAAATCACCGGATTCAATTCATTCATTTCACGTTTATTTGTATAGCGCCTTTCACTATACACATCATTTCCAGTCCATATTATCCATGTTATCCGAGGTAACTAAGTTACGTATTTCAGAAATGTACATATACAATATCACAGTTAGCTAAAAAAAAAAAAAGATTAATTTAAACAAATGCAATATTTTCATGCAGAAACAATGAGCTTATTAAAGTAATGAATACTTGTTTGTTAACAAATGATTATGACATTTAGAAAGGTGCATGCTGACAGTGAAGACCTGTAAAGCAGTTCTCAATCGGTTTGACTATCACATTTTCTTCAAGTGTTTCTTCTGTCCAGTATGACAAAGCTCCTTATTTTTAAAGAAACTGAGTGTGTTAATTATGATTCCAATATGTTGCAGAATGTTATGTACGATATAATATATTAATTTCAATTATTCTATGTCGACCTGTGGCCCCTATTGGGCCTAGGTGTCCAGGTTGAGTATCACTGCGGTCGGGTGATATTTTGTAGTTTTATTTCTTATTATCTGACAATAACATAATAATATTGGACAATTTTTATATATTATAATAACTGATTGTGAATATCTCTTGATTGTGCTTAAGGGATAGGTAATGATAATTAAAAAAACTACACACACACACACATTTTAATAAAAATGAAAATTCATGAATTAATGAATTCATAAAATGAAATTAATATTATAATTTGCCATGAAAATATTTTAAAACTATTGTGCTCTAGTTCAAGTCTTTTGAAGCCATAAGATGGCTTTGTGTGATGAACATGTGCCATATATATTTTGAGATCCTCAGCAGAGACTTAAATTTGGTCTGTTCGTCAAACAAAGCTTTCATCTAGCACATGATTCTCATGTTATTTATTTTCTATTAGCAACTGTTTGAACAAAGCTTGTTATTGAATTCCATGTAAAAAAAGAAGTGTGGAATGAAATGAATTCATGAGTGAATTATTAATTTAACTCATGGTCATGTGTGGATCTTTGTCCTGATAGGCTAGTGCATTTGGAGCGGCCGCATTCCCCTCAGAGGTTGCTGTCACAAGGAAGGAGGTCTCTGTGGCTTTCTGTTCCATCGCTGAAATCTTCTTCACAGATCTCTGGTAAATTTCTTTTCCTTTTTACACAGATGTATGCTGGCATTTATTCATCTTCTGCCAATCTTTGTTTGCTCTGGCCTTTCTCACTCTTTTCATTTCTCAACCTTTTTGGCTTTCCGTACCTGATGACATGATATGCCACACACACACCTGGGACAGCACAACAGACATGAGCCCATCTGTTCTGAGGCCTGCAGAAACGATCTAATCACAGACTGGTTGATAGAGGGATAGAGTGAGGAAGAGGGTTGGGAATTCAGGATGGTTGAATGGTAGGAGAGAGATGAAATGCAGTGTTGATTGCCGAGGATCTTGGCATAGCGTGATTTCATTCAAACGTTGAGATTGAAATTCAAAGCGTCAGGGTTATTGATTATATGAAAGAATCATACCATTTCACACATTGATGTACATTTGAAGGTACAGCAGCAGCATCTAGCTAAGTTCAGTTTGTCTGTGCCTTTTCTTATTGATGTACTTTATGGTTGAATGTGTGTATCTGGTTTGTTGTTTTGGTACATGTTTGCTGCAGGCGATAACTGGAAAATCAAGAGCAAGTGTATGTGCTAACAAATAATATTTTCTTCAGTAGTGTGTGGATGCCCTTGGGTACTGTGGAAACTCTGGTTTAGTTCAATTATTGGTCAAACTTGTAATTTTGTGCAGACATTGTTCACAGATCAAGCTACAAGACACAATGTTTGTATGTTTAAAAAATAACTGGATTTCTTATATCATTTCTGTGTGAAAGTGTTCAAAAACAATTTTTTATGCAGTATTTCCCCCCATATCCCCCATACTTCCACTTTTCCTGTATTGCTTTTTTTATCTTATCATATGTCCTCTTATCCTTATCTTGCACTACTACTTCTTAATGTACCCTACTTTCTCTCACCTTATATCATTTAGGGCTGTCAAATGATGTATATATATATTATAAACACACACACATGTTTGTATATTGATTAATCGTGATTAATCACATCCAAAATAAAAGTTTGTGTTTACATAGTGGGTGCTCACATATGGGTGCACTGGGTATAATTATTTATATGTATATATATATATATATAGATAGATATAGATATGAAGAGTTCAGATGCAAAAGCCTCTAAATGCCATTTGAAATTTTCATCTTTAATGATGATTTTTATCAAACTTGTATATTTAAGTTCAGTAATTTCACTTAAATAACAATTAATAGGTAATTATCATTGCCATTTAAGTGACATTACTGAACTTAAATATACAAGTTTGATAAAAAAATCATCATTAAAGAAGAAAATTTCAAATGGCATTTAGAGGCTTTTGCATCTGAACTCTTCATATATAAATACACACACGTTTGTATATATTTAATAAATATTTTCATGTATATACTATATATATATATAAATAATATTTTTTTCTTAAATATACATGCATGTGTGTGTATTTATATATATACAAAATAATTATACACAGTGAGTGCACCCACATATACTATGTAAACACAAACTTTTATTTTGGATGCGATTAATCGCAATTAATCATTTGACAGCCCTAATACCATTAACTGTTGTACTATACTATTCTATTCTTATCCTTTTATCACTTCTTCTTGTCCTATCCTTCTACCTTTCATTGTTTCGGTTTGGAAAAATGTAAATTTAATCAAAGTGTTAAATCAAAGTTATTGATTGATCATAATTTCTTTGAAAATATTTGCACACAGCATAACTTAAATAACACTGAATGATTTTTCTGTGCTTTAAATAACAATTTTCTTTTTTGACAGCATGGAGGAGGGCGCTGCTGACCGCTGTAAAGAGGCCATCGATAAAGCTCTACAGTACGACGAACACAACCCTGAGGCTCTGCAGCTGATGGCCAGCTATCTGTTCAGCATTGAGAAAACTGAGGTACAACAGGACATATCCCCTCACCATCTCACTGGACAACTGCACTTTTAGAAAGAAAAGTGTTCTGAGCTGCAGGTCATTATGCAGTCATAATTACTGTAGGTGGAGAGCAGCTGAGAGAGCTGAGTCATGTGTTTCTGAGGAGACAGACCAAAATTGTGTGCAAGAGAATGAGCGAGTAAGAGAGACAGGTTTTTGGGAATGTATGCTTGGTTTTTGTGTGAGAAATAGACAAAGATGAGAGTTAGGTGACAGGTAGTGAATTGTAAACCATTAATAGAACAAGCTTGTAGAAAAGGACCCACCGTGGGACTGATTTTCTACAAATGCAAACACATTCACATAGATGCAGTTCCTCACTGAACCATTAGGGGGCAAACAAACATAAGACCAGCACATCCACTAATCCTGTCCTACCCTCTGAGTTGAGCATCAGTGTGCAGCTTAAAATGCTTGCAACATTTGTGAGTATTTTCACTTCAGAGGACAGTTCCATTTCCCTTCAGAGAGCTGACAGTAGAACTTGACTTAACAATCATAAGCTTGAGTCCCTTTGTGTGCTCTAACCTCAACCTTTTTCATGCTTGTGCTTTTTCATCACATCCTGTCACTTCCTCTCATACTGTATTGCTCCCTCTAATTCTTTACCACATTCTATAATCCTGTACAACTTGCTCTTATTCATGCTCTCAATGTATGCGACATCCTTTTGCCGTATCTTACTTTCTCTCCTCTTATTGTCCATTCTATTTCCTACTTCTCAGTTCTCAACTTAAATGGTACCACTTCCTCTCATCCCTTCATTCTCATTTTCCTCGCAACGTTTTGTACTTCCTCTTATCCTTTACTACTTCCTCTCATCCTATCCTACTTCATTTTTATCTCATACCACTCTACCAGTTATCCTACTTTTTGCTACTTCTTTTCGTCATATACCACTTCCCCTCATCTTATAGTGTCATGTTGTACTATCCTAATTCTTGTCATCCTATTCTGCTTCCTAACCCTAATCCTATCCTATTTACTCTGTTCCATGACTGTTTTCTCTCTTCTCATCCTATGTTGTTCCAGTTTGTCTTTTAACACTTTCTCTTATCCCGGACCATTTCATCTTATTCATGCTTTTTCCTTCGTCCTCCAATGCTTTACTACTTTCTCTCATCATATACCATATATTATTCCCCTTCTATTCCTACTTATTTTGATCATATTCCTCTCTTCCTCTCATCCTTTATCACTTCTTCCCCTCATCTTATCTTACTTTCTCTCACTCTGACCTACTTCCTTTTATCCTATCCTGCTTTCTCTCAATGTATAATGCTTCATCTCATCCTTTACTTCTTACCCTCATCCTATCCTGCTTCCTTTCAGCTGTCAACCTTCCTTCTGCCACTTCCTCTCATGCTTTACTATTTCCACTCATTTTATACTACTTCATCTTTTCTTATCTTACTTCCTCTCATTCTATACCACTTCTTCTCATCTTCCTCTTCCAGAGCTTCCTGTTGTCCTATTGGTTCTGAGTCCTTTTATCCCATCCCACTGCCTCCCATAACATCTTACTTCCTCTCATGATATATTGCCTAAGCTATTTCCTACTTATTTGCATCATATACACGTCCTGTCATCCTTTATTACTTCCTGTCATCGTCTCTTTCTCTCTCTCTCCCTTATCTACTGCCTTTCATCCGATACTGCATCCTCTCAACATATTCTACAATCTATAATCTCATACCACTACCTCTTATCATACATTCTATAACTTCCTCTGACACTATACCAGTTCCTCATATCTTTTAGAGCTTCCTCTTGGCATATCTTCTTCTTCTTGTCTTTCCATTATATATCCTAGTTCCTAGTATCCTTCACATCCCATCACCTCCCATCCAATCTTACTTACTCTCATCCTATTCCTTTTCCTGAGGCATGTACTATGTACCTGTATTTTTAGTTTTACAATACTTGGAGAGGCTCTTTCAAATTTATTTGACCACACTTTATGCAGGAGGGGCGTGACTACCTGAAGAAGAGCGTGTCGTCATGGTTACCTAGCCTACAGAAAAAGGAAGAGTCATCGGTGAGCGCAGCACACGACATGGAGGAGGAAGAAAATCAGACTAAGGTGCGTATACAGGTGTTTGTGTTCCAAAGGCAACAGAGAGATGAAGATAGGATGCATCACAACCTTTCATTTGACCTCTTTCTGATTGCAAGGCAGGAAATACCACTGCACTCAAAGACGGTTTTAGTCTAGAAAAGATAAGGGAAGAAAGGAAACAAACTAGCTTATTTATGTTTTTATTTTTCTCTCAAAGCTAGGTCAAGGCTGTGGCAGTTTGCTGCATGGCCAGCCCTGCGGCCACACGTGCGCACGCACAGCTCCCCCATCAAGTGACCACGCTTTCCATTGAACCTGTTTTTTGCTCAAGGCTACGCATTTCATGCTTTTTCAAAAACATATTTTTGTTTCTGTATCGAAATGAATTTCCGCAGTTCATCTGTTAAGTAGGGCTTTGCGCTGCTGAAAAAAACACAGAAAAACAAGCCTTACCTGAACTGACTCGTTGAGGGAATTTATAAAAGTTTGTTTACTTCCCTACTGGTTAAAATTTCAGGGAACTTGCTTTGCACTAGACATAAATTTGTGATATGTAGATGCAGCTTTGCAACGTTTGGAAATTCCTGGCAGGTTGGAGGGTTAGTGCATCTGTGAAGCATGTTGTAATCAGGTTCAGCGCTCTTATCAACTCTTTTTTACATAGCTGATTTAGAAAACATTTTCCCAGTATAGAGATGAAACAGATTGTGTTTATATTTACAATACAATAATGAGCCTGATAACATTACAGACAAACTACAATGAACACAAGAGATGAAGTGAGATGTTGAAAGAGAGAATAGTGTTTATGAAGAGAAAATTAGTCACATGCAGAACTAAATGGACCATTAATCCCAAAGTATACTTCGGCCACCCACCACCCACGTGACTTAACTTTTGTCATCAGGACAAAATAAAAAAAAACTTCCACGTGCAGCCCATTTTTTGTAAAATATAATTTTTGCATCACATCAGAATATTAGATTGATTAATAATAAAGTAATGACTGCTGAAAATGCAACTTTTCCAATTATATTCAAATAGAAAACATTTATTTTAAATTATACTAATATATCACAATGTTTCTGTATTTATATATTTCAATTTTAATTTAAAAATGCAGCCTTGGTGATCATTATAGACTTATTTAATAAACATCCTTATCAGTATAATAATCTTATCTTATAATAATCTTATTTTTGGCAGTGTACTTATCTTCTAATTAATTGTATATTAATTAGGGCTGTCAAACGATTAATCACGATTATCGCATCCAAAATAAAAGTTTGTGTTTAAATAATATATGTGGTTGCACTGTGTATAATTAATTTGTGTGTATATATAAATACACACACATGCATGTATTTTTATGAAAAAAATATTATTTAAATAAAAAATATGTATATATAATATAAATTATACATAAATCTATATACATGAAAATATTTCTTAAATATATACAAGCGTGTGTGTGTATTTATATATATAAAATAATTATACACTGCACCCACATATATTATGTAAACACAAACTTTTATTTTGGATGCGATTAATCGCGACTAATCGTTTGACAGCCCTAATGTTAATCATTATTGAGTTTTTTCAATTAATTTTCATATAATTTTCTCATCAATTCACATCATCAAGTCTTTCATTACCCTTAATTTACCTCTCAGTTAATATTTATTTTTGTTTTTGTTTTAGAGCAACATCCCACCATATGAATCCAGAATAACAACAGCCAAACTGCTGATCGAGGCCGAGGAGTATGAGGTAGGACAATGGTCTAGCTCAACACTTTTAAGAAGACCATTTCAAATGTTTCAGTCAGTTTCCTTCCAGTATAGAATTCACTCACTTCTCTGGCAGACCGAACTGTAGTGTCCACTGCATGTTGAAGTGGACCGTATAGTGTCAGTAATTATTTAGGGTCTTAGTGGTGATGGTGATGTCTTATACATGGATTCAACTGAATCTATTGGGTTAGAAACTGTTTAATCACAGGGCATTGGATTCATTCTATAACCAGTCATTTTTTATTAGCACACTTTATCTTGTATTAGCACACTTTAATCCAAACCAATCCGTTCTTGCTGTGCAAGCAAGTTTAAAGACCTATAGAATACAGCTTGTACAAGTACACTAATATTAGTACAAACAGGCTTAAAGCTGTCAGTGTTGTGAGTAATGAGAACTTTTAATGTGTGCTCTATTGCAGCTGTAGACTAAAGCATCACCCTGTGTGTTGTAATGCTGAATAATTGTCAACGGAACAATTATTTACTGTCTAATGTGTATTTCCGTGGCTGTTGTGGCTGATGAGTTGAACAAATCAGCTTTACCTCATATAATATTCCACTCACCAGCTTTGCAAAGCGGTAGAGATATAAGTGCAAAAATAAGTAAATATTGACGTTGTATTGAGAGGACTGATCCTCACATACAAATATTGATTACTTATTGTGAAAATTAACCTGCAAAATAAATTAACTGACAGATTATTCAAATAGAGAGTACTGATATTGACAGAGACAGAAACATTACTATAGACAACAATAAATATATATATAATTATAATTATTATATATAATAATTATCAGCTCATGATGCCCTAACATGCTGTCTAGGTAGGCAGCTCATTTGTTTATGAGATACAGCCATTCAAAGTTGAGGTGAACTGTATAGTCGTCAGGTGTTGGTTAGTAGTTATGTCTATCGTGTTAGTGTAAAGGAGTCCCACAGCTGTTTTTTGAGCGAGACCATGTCCATGGTTATTAATGCTAAGACTATAGATTAGTTTCCCTTTAAACTCTTTTCTCATTTTCTATCAGCGCTAAGGCGATCTCTGAATAATCCAGAAATGGTATTTTATTCACACTTATCCTTGACCTTTTCAGTTGAGTGTGAGTGTGCAGTAAGACTCTTTTTGTGCAGAGAGTGTGAATGTCCTGACACCTGTCCAGCACTCGGAGAGAGGTATCGGAAAAAGTGAGAGAACAGAGAATTTAAATGAAGCGAAGAGGAAAGAGAAAGAATGACAGGGTCGAGAGACAATGAAATAAGGCAGGACCAGGATGAGATGCTATAAAAGTGAAAGTCAGTTTGAGAGAGAGAGAGAATGATAAATTGGCAGCTGTGTGGAGCTCACTTTTCTTTAGCTCTTTTTCACACTTGCTTATATTTGTTCGGTTCATCCTGAGGAGACAGTGAAGGACTGAGTGCTGCAGCCTGACTTTAAAAGCGTATGCTCTCCCTTAGCCGAACACAAATAGAATCTCCTCTCAGCATGGGGGACGTATTAATATTAAAAACCAGTCACCTGGCTGTCTGTCAAAATGATGCCAAAGGTTGTAGGGTCGTTTCTGCGACAGCGGGTGTTTAGACAGAAGCCGGGCCCCCCAGCAGCAAGGACCTTTGATTGGACAGCTGGGAAAGATGAGCACTTCTAAACAGAGAGAGAGAGAAGAGAGAGAGACAGGATGGACTATTTTAGATATCTAGAGGCAGTCCAAGCTCTAAAGATCTTGGTGTAAAAACTTAGTTTTAAACTTTCAGCAAAACGGAGCCCAAATTGCTCAACTATATATATTTTTTTATAGTAAACATCCCTAGTTATATTTTACATGATGCCTTAGTACACATAATAATAAATAATCAACTAATAAAATGAAAATTATATAATATAAAAATATTAACTAAAACATATTAATAAAGTAATAATGTAAGTTACTTTTCACTGTTTAGTCAGACCCAGTGGATGAGCTGGGACTTGCTGCTACGATATTATCATATCTATTGATATCTGGCTCATGACACACTTGATACACAAAAATATCCTGCTAAATCTATGGGGAAAAAATAAATAACTGTGGTTGCAATCTTTTAACTGTGGTAACAATGTTTCAAGTATGGCATATTGGTGCCGGTCTTACGTTTCATTTGAAATGATTACGTTTTTCTCGCCCTAAATTATATGGTAATTCATAGTTTTTACTTTTAAACAATCCACAATTTTGTCACTTTTTTACACACATAAAAAGCATATAATGTGTTGTTCAAATATTTACAGTATTTACAGTATATGGGTTGGTAACTTGGTAACATGGGTTCGATTCCCAGGAAAAGCTAGAACTGATGAATGTAAATGTGTACCTTGAAATGCAATGTCAAATTCATAAATGTAAAGGTAAATGTAACTTACAGTTTACCAAATATTTTACAGCTTTTCTTTATTCCATGATTTTATTTTATTTTATTGACAGTGTAATGTAGTATATATACAGTATATATATATATATATATATATATATATATATATATATAATATATATATATATACACTCACCTAAAGGATTATTAGGAACACCATACAAAAATTGTGTTTGACCCCCTTTCGCCTTCAGAACTGCATTAATTCTATGTGGAATTGATTCAACAAGGTGCTAAAAGCATTCTTTAGAAATGTTGGCCCATATTGATAGGATAGCATCTTGCAGTTGATGGAGGCTTGTGGGATGCACATCCAGGGCACGAAGCTACCATCCACCACATCCCAAAGATGCTCGAAAAGATGCTATTGGGTTGAGATCTGGTGACTGTGGGGGCCATTTTAGTACAGTGAACTCATTGTTGTTGTAACAAGGCATGATGGATCCATGTTCTCATCCTGTTTACGTCAAATTCTGACTCTAGCATCTGAATGTCTCAACAGAAATCGAGACTCATCAGACCAGGCAACATTCTTCCAATTGTAGCCTCTTTTTCCTATTTGTAGTGGAGATGAGTGGTACCCGGTGGGGTCTTCTGCTGTTGTAGCCCATCCGCCTCAAGGTTATGCGTGTTGTGGCTTCACAAATGCTTTGCTGCAAACCTCGGTTGTAACAAGTTGCTATTTTAGTCAAAGTTGCTCTTCTATCCACTTGAATCAGCATTTTCGCCTTGTTGATGACGAAATGTAAAATAAATGTAATTTATTTTACATTCTGACAGTATTTTAAGGTAAAATCTTGCAATACAGTACAAATACTTGCAATTTTGCAACAAAATAGTGAGTTTTATTTTATGTTATCCTTTGAAGCAAGGAAGGGTCTATTATCTGTTTTCCTTGCTTTATAGATTAATGTATATGTGCCCTCTTGCCGTAATGTCCTGCATGAGCACATTCAATATTAGTTTTGTTGGCTATGTATGTAACTGTCAGACTGTGGCAATTCAAAATGAGTTTTGAGGACTCTTGAGAGTGTGTGAAGTGGCAGTGCATGCTGCATGAGCTAACTCAATATTAGCAAGGCCTTTTCCTGCTCTACTCCAGCTTGGGTCAAAGCCTGACACACTGTGTGACAGCACAAGATTGATGTCTTTCTTTGCCAGTGGTCTGAATAGAGGGAGGAGAGGAAGAGTGTGACGGGCAGTAGAATGAGGGGGAGGGAAGGATGGAGAGAGCCGAAGAGATATAGTTGTATAAAATGCTTTGGTTGGGAAGAGAAGGAAGTCTTGCCATTTGAACAAAGTGACAAAGGTACTGTTTAATGTCTCTAGCGGTGGACTTCATTATCTCTGAAGAGGGAGATATTTAAAAGAAACTCAAACCCTAGGGACCCACACACAAGGTTATACATACACCTGGGCTAATTAGGCTTTTGAAGCTAATGACCACACACCAGTACACTTCATCAAATAATACTAGACTTTTTTTTCTTTTTCTTTTTTGTCTGTGAACACAGCGGCCAGCAATTCAGCCAAGTTACACTGACCTTAAAAAGTTTCTGGATGCATAAGTCACTCTTAATGTTATGAATGTTATTGCATTACATAACAAAATATAAAACCTGATTTCTTTATTCATAGTTTAACCTAAATTGATTAAAACTAATTCACTTAAATGAAGGCTATGAAGGGTTCTCACATGATATGTTTGGAGATTTCAGTTGTTTAAAAAAAAATATTCCATATTGGAAATTAATAACGATATTTATAATTTTCAACTGTGATAATGAAAAGAAAATGTTTCTTAAGCAGCATGTGACTGAAGACTGGTGAAATGTGGCTGAAAGTACAGCTTTGCCATGACAAGAAATTAAAATAAATTCAAATAGAAATAGTTATTTTAATGGGTTACTGTATTTTTGATCAAATAGCCTTTGTTGAACATACAAACGTTCTCTCAAAAATATTGTATTGTATTGTAATTCCCTGGAAAATACTCTGTTTATCCCAAATTTCTGCTTTTATTGTCCATGAAAGAAAGTCATTCATACTGGTTTGGAATGACATGAGGGTTAGTAAATGAATTTTCATTGCTCAATCAATCCCTTTAAACTGACACAATAACATGTAACTGGATATAAGTCTTAAGCTGTAGTTTGTCAGTTAGCCGGCTCTTTGAAAGTGATTTAAAGTATTTAATACAGGACACAATGGAGCTTGCAACCTATTTTGACAGTACTGAGATAATCACAGTCTTTCTCATCCCCATTCAAAATCCTAAATATCAAATATGTTTGATATGATCAGTGCAGGCCCGATTCGTATGGAAGCAGATCAGGAGGTGCAAGATTCAACCTGTAATCGAGGTCATCGACAAGTCGGTGTTAAATCCGCCTAAACATCCTGTAGTGTGAGGCAGGCATAAATGAATTTTCATTGCTGGATCAATCCCTTTGAACTGACACAATGACATGTAACTGTGTATAAGTCTAAGCTCTTGTTTGTCAGTTAGCTGGCTCTTTGGAAGTGATTTCAAGTACTTAATACAGGACACAATGGAGTTCATG